TCTATGGACAGCATTTTCAGAGTAAGATAAAAAACTACAGAGAAATCACATTTATAGATTCTGGTTATATTTTTTCAACCACATATATTTTAAAAAAAATTTAAACATGAAAGACTTCCAATAGCCATCCAACTGGTAAGGTTCCCTTTCTCCCTGAATACATTAAAAAACTCATCCAGCATATAATTTAAAAAATATTGTCTATTTTCCCTCTAATGTAGGTTGGAATGTAGATTGATGCAAACTCTGGGAATCATAGTGGCTTAAATTAATAAAAACGGGACGTTTAATCTATTATCGTTGAGAATCATGGTGATTTTCAGCTTTTAGCTCTCAGCTACCTCTAACCTGCTAAGTTTTATATCTAGTCCTCATTCTCTTTGAAAGGAGTCCTTTTATGTTCCAAAAACACTCCTGCATTTTCTCATACATTTTAACTGTTTTATTGCTTTTAACCCAAAATATGCAAAAAGGTCTATCTATGAGAAACACAAATGAAGGAGATTTACAAAGCTAACAAAAAATAAAACATTCTAATATTCTAATTAACCTTTCTATGCTTACAGCTTAACTTGTGCTTCATTTTTTTAAAAGGAATATAGAGGTGTATTTTGATCATGGTGAACAAACTATCAAATTTTGACCCTAGAAATTTACAATAAGTTTAAAGATTTCATGTTTTCCCTTAATACATCCATACCACTAAGCATCTCTCATATTCGATATTTTGTAAATTAGTGCTGCTGGTTACAAATTACATGATACAAGGTATGAATAATAAGGTAAAACAAAGTCAGTATTGTGAACTAAAATGCAGTAAAACCAAAAAGTTAACATTATGTCTTTTAATGGAAGAATGTGCAAGTGATATCTAACATTTCTAAAAAAGAAGTTCCAGATATGATTTGCTTATGACAGCAAATTGCATCTTAGGCTTCTTTGGGCTCGACAAAATGCAACTTCTTGTAGAATTGGTAAAACTACTGTTTGCACCTTTGTACCTTGAGAATATTTTGAAAAAAAACCCAAACTTCTAAAGTTATATTAAAAAATAAAATTTTCATTTAATTAAAAGCTAATAAAATATAAAAAATTTAAAAAGAAAACAGAATTGTGTAACATTGTTGCCTCTACAGTTACATAGAGCATCTATAGAATTTTATAAGTTGATATTCCCGAGCTGCCGTGTACAGATAGAAAAAGGTTCCAAACCTTGATTCATCAGAAATAAACAAAGAAAGTTAGAACATATGCTAGTACATGTTACATAGTTGAGCACAAAGGAGATAGTATGAGTTAATGTACACCAAAAATACAATTTTGTAACAAACAGCAATGTATTTTTAACTTAACTCTGCAGGAAAACAATTCTTTTCAGAATTTAAAAATTGTTAAAATCAATATATTAAAATTTGATTGCAGACACTGCAAAGTTGGAGTTTTTATGAGCAAGGCAAAAGCCCAAATAGAATAAATTTGTAGTGAGAAGCAAAAAGCTCAAAAAGCTCAAGATGTCTATATGGTAACAAGCTGAGAAAAAGATCAAAGGCAGAAAGTGATGAAGAGGAACAAGAGGAACAGAGTTCACAATTACAATGATTATCAAAAATAAAATAAATAGACTTGTTTAGCTCTGGAAAAGAGAATACATATTAAAAAAAAAAAAAAAGAAAACAAAAAAGCCTTTATCTTTTTGTTGCTTCATTTTGGCTCTATTTGATAACCATGTGCTATGTAACTTAACTTTGAGGTGCTTATATGGTTATTTTGGACAGACTTTTTTAACTATCCATAAGCCTATACTGTTCCATGCAGCTTTAAAAGTCTGTGCTGTTCCATGCAGCATTAAAAAAGGATTGCAGTAATTGATTTTTCAGTTTGGCAGAAAAACTGGGGGGAAAGTAATTCAAAGATAAAAAAAGGAAAAAGTAACTCTTCTTTACCAGAAAGAAAAATTGAAAAGAATCAAATGAAATCATGTTATTGAACATATTTTCTGTTCATCCTAAAGCTCAGCAGTTTGAGACACTTAAACGGGAGAAAAACAAATGAAAGGTAAGGTTCATAAATCACCTGTAGTTACTTTTATTTCAAATCTCTGCAATTAAGATTGCCAACCAGGCTGAAAGACAAACAAACAGAAAAGCAAACCATAAGAAGATAACTGGTTCTAGCTCTCTCTAAATGGATTTTTCTACCTTCTAGTGGAGTGCCTTGTAGCTACTGAGCAATACTTACTAAGATTATGGTGTTATAGAAAGAGTTTTCCTTGACTATTCTTTCTGAAGCTATTCTACTTTGAATAAAATATGTATTTTTTAAGCATTAGACATATCTCTCATTGACAATATTTATAGTTATGTAAGTGCAGAGAAAAACATAAGATTTTATCGAGCATGCCTATGCCAGGGTTGAATGAAATTGCTAGACAAGTCTGAAACTCTAGAAATGTAACCTATCACTTAATATAACATTTACTTCAATGTACACATACTCATAACTTATACAAATTAGCTGTATATTAACATAACAGAAACCCACACCATACTTTTTTGGAAACAATTGTAATTTACTAACAATTAAAGAGATGAACTTTTTCTGTGGCTGTTGATCAAGTTGTGTCATTCTTCTATGTTTGACTCAACACTTTTTTTTTTTTTTTTTTTTTTTTGAGAGAGAGAGAGAAGCTTCTGTGATTTCATTGAGCTCTAATCAGATCCAACAGGATACTAGGGAACAATTACAGTGGCCTTCAGAAATATGCTGCCATTTAAAAACTCTCAAAGCTGTGCCTCAACTTCTGTTTATGGACACCAATAAAGTAGTACAACGTGTAATAAGAAGCTACGCAGAAGATTGGCTATTGAATCCATTTGTATTTTTATTGATTGTCTGACTGGAAGAAAAGCATTCATTTATTAACAGAAATAGAGTCTATTGTATGTCTACCATAGCATTTTGTTGAGTTAATAAGATTAGCTGATCTACTTTTATCTTCTGATGTGTTCACTGATTGATGGTATGCTAATACTTCTTCATTTTAGATTCTCTTACAAAGAAAAAACCCAAAGCTTAAATGGTAAATAGCATGTTCTTGTTACTTCATTTTCTTATTTGCATTTTCTTCCTTTCAAATGTTAATAGCTTTAAGAATTATTTTATCCAGTCTTAGCATAAGCAGTTATTCATGGCCCTTTTCTAATTATGATCAATTGGCTCCTGAAATGGCATTGCCTGGAAAATATTCTATTCATGATTAAAGCAAGCACCTGATTCACATTTGCAATCTAACATAGTAATATTTGTTGAACACGTTGAGAATATCCCTTGAAATCTATTTTTAAATAACTGATTTAGATTATACAAAATTTGAATATATCTTTCTGATTTCAACTGAATAAAATTCATGAAGTCATGTGAAAAAAAGGTCTGTAATGGTAAAAGGCATTCAAGAATCTTTATAGTTCCTGAGAAATTATTGCTTACTGGCATATTTTTAATTTAGTATTTTTTTCCCCTTAAAGTGAGGAAAACAGATTCAGGTTACTCTGAGATAACCCTTCAATTGTGGTAAGATTTAAACATAGAAGTCATGGAGACAGTAGGACTGGGGAAAAAAAGGGTTGAGATTTCAGGATTTTTCAGGAGAAACTCACCAGTTTTAATTAACTGTGATAGCTCCCACCCTACTGGAGACAAAGCTCAGGACTAGTCATATGATCTTCAGAATTATTCTCTATTGTTTATCAAGTAAATAGTGGAATATGTACACATTGTTTTGGCATGTATCTTGAAAAGTATATACAAAAGTACTGTAGAGGGAGACTGGGACATCTTTCAGAAAAGTAGTGCTTTATTTAGGAATGAGAGTCAATTTTGCAGTCAGCATAGGTTCACAAAGTCCTGTTTAACTAGTTTGATATACTTCTATGATAAGGTCATCCACTTAGTGGATGAAGGGATGGTGGTGGATGTGTTTTTTCTGGATTTTAGTAAGGCTTTTGATACTGTTCCTCACAGCATCCTTCTGGACAAGTTGTCCAGCTGTGAGATAAGTGTGTTCACAATGCACTGGGTAAAGAACTGTCTGAAAGGTAAAGCTCAAAGGATGCTAGTGAATAGAGATGTATTTGGCCAGCGATTGGTCAACAGCAGTGTTCTTCAGGGTTCAATTCTAGGACTAGTTTTGTTCAATATATTTATAAATGATCTGGATTCAGGAGTTGAATGGACCATTAGCAAGTTTGCTGATGATATCAAACTGGGAGGTTCTGTTTATTCTCTTGAGGGACAAGATCCCTTGCAGAGGGATCTAGATAGATTGGAGTGTAAGTGTGTTCACAATGCACTGGGTAAAGAACTGTCTGAAAGGTAAAGCTCAAAGGATGCTAGTGAATAGAGATGTATTTGGCCAGCGATTGGTCAACAGCAGTGTTCTTCAGGGTTCAATTCTAGGACTAGTTTTGTTCAATATATTTATAAATGATCTGGATTCAGGAGTTGAATGGACCATTAGCAAGTTTGCTGATGATATCAAACTGGGAGGTTCTGTTTATTCTCTTGAGGGACAAGATCCCTTGCAGAGGGATCTAGATAGATTGGAGTGTTGGGCTATCATTGATGGGATGGACTTAACAAGTTCAAATGCTAGATTCTGCACCTAGGATGGAATAATGCTGGGTACACGTACAAATTGGGAGAGGAATGGCTACAGAGCAGCACTGCAGAAAGACATCTAGGGCTGCTGGTTGACAGGGTTGCATCAGGAGACTGGACATTAGGAAGCATTTATTTACCAAGAGGGTGGCCAAACACTGGAACAGGCTTCCTAGAGAGGTGATCTCTCAGTGTTTAAGAGGCATTTGGACAATGCCTTTAATAACATGCTTTAACTTTTGGTCAGCCCTGAATTGCTCAAACAGTTGGAATAGATGACCGTTGTAGGTCCCTTCCAACCGAATTTATTCTATTCTATTCTATTCTATTCTATTCTATTCTATTCTATACACAGTGGTAACCACTGTTTCTCTATCATCTACTTCCTGACCACCAGACCACATAAATAATTTTTTCCTGTCTTTCTGCGTTTGTACCAATATTAAATAATATACACATTTATGGTGTTAAACAAGGTTTAATGAAACTTGACAGCTGTGAAAATTATTTGTAGGTTTTTCTATTACTGTGTTTATAACCAGTTTGTAAAACTGATCCCATTAAACATTAATGCTATTTATCATCTTAAAAAGGAAAAAAAGAAAGACTAGATTTCATGAAGTTTTTCCAGAGGCAATCCACTTTTTTAGTCACTACTCATCTCAAGACATGAAGAAGAACAGCTTAATGGTTTAAAATCAGATTTAGGGTTAGGAGTTTTACTGACTTTTCCATATTTATCCTTAGTGACCCTGAGCAAATCACTTCTTCTGCATTAATCTGTGTGTCTTCACTGCACGTGTGAAATGTGAAAAGGAATGGATGGGAATACTGGTATATAACAATTATCATAGATGTATATTTAAGAACAGAAGACATTCTAGTATTATGATGAAAAGGTCATAAATTAATTGAGGAAGTTTGGATTTAAAAAAAAGGTAATTATCATGATTCTATTTTATTGTCAATTGTTATGAGTTTTAAATGTTTAAATGCCCTTTAATTGTCTCACAGTTTCTCTGCATCTTGTTGACGAAATGTGTATCAGCTATTGACAGCAGAGAGAGACATCCTTTCATTATGTATCCTGAGAGGTAATGACTGGGATTAGGTCAGTATTTGTAAACACGAAAGAAGGTTAAGGACATAAGAGTCAAAACACAGATTGTTCTACTTTAGCATCCTATATTCAGTCGTGGTGAAAAGCTGGTGCTCAGGTAGGGCCATAAGAACAGGTAGAGCCTGCTGGACGATCCAACCTCCGCCCATTTGCAGCTCAGTTAATCCCTGGGCAAAACATGATTTCTGTGTAATTAATAATCTTTAGTGCTTTCCATTCATGAGCTTGACCGGCCTGCACTTGAAGGTAAGCATATTTTAACTATACATACACTGACTTCACAAAGATTTCTACTGCACAGTTAACAATTGCACAAATAATTGTTTCTTTTTATATGATCCAAGGTAAATTACAAGACAAATCGGGACATCACAGAACCTCTGCAGCAGGCTTAGAAGTTCTGGCAGGAGAAATATTTTTGGCTTTAAATACAACTAGAATTCTCTTAGAAGCTTTCAGTTTACAGGGATAGAAGGCATGAAACATATTGCTGAGCAACTAGAAAAAGTTTACAGAATCTTTGTGAAACAGAATCTGCATATACTCATTAACAACTCTATATGGCAAACAGCAACCCATTATAATTTGTGTCTGACTTGGTGGCTGAAAGTGGTTCTTGTTTTTATAAATCATGAATTTTCTAAAATTCTCAAAATGTGATTTTGCAGTTTATCTTAATATGCATGTTACTTCTTATGTGATATTTACCATTTTTACATGGACAGTTAATGAACTCAAATTTAAATAAAAATGTGATCTATACATCAAGATAAATTTGAGATGCATTATTTCTATGTATTTGTATTATGTCATGCATATAAGAAACGCTAAGAGAAAGGGTAGTCCTTTAATCTAAATGTACAAGTGATAATACTCGGGTATTTTAAATAAACCAACTTTTCTTCTTTATGTATTATGATTATTATTTTTTTTTAATTAAAGAAGGTGTAGTATGCATGTCAACCTGATTGAACTGGGGAACCTGAGAAACAGAGTTGTTTGCCCATTGTTCTATGAAAAAAAACAAGTCAGGAGCAAAACCAGACACAAACCACTGACTTCTATTTCAGACTCATTGTCTTCCCAGGACTAAATGTGAATTGGTCTCATATGCCATGTACATTTTAAAGTATTTTTTTCCCAAAGGTAAACTATGGAAACTGTTAATTAAAGTCCACCTTTTGCTTTAGAATAAAGCAATTAAGACAATTGGAAAGGAAGGACAGACAATTGCCAACAAAAATTCTAAGTTGGTACACACTGACACTAGCATATTTTCCTTGGTTCTCTTTGAAAAATCTGCAATAATAGAAACAATGTGTACAATACTCCCATACATGTCTGGCACACGTTTCTTCAAGCAAATTTTCCTGTAAGTCTTTATGAAGAGTATAAGTTCTTTGTCCTTTCTCTTTACTGTTCTCTTTATTGCTGCAGGGCTCTTTGATCATCTCCCGCATCTTTACTCATTGTCTTGTTAGAATTTCCAGCAACATACAAGTAACTTTGTCTGGTCCCAAATCCCGAGTTCACTTTCTTCTGTCTCTTTACTCTGAAATGAATTTTAAAAAAAAGTGTGAGTACAACACCAAGGAGAAAAGCCAGTTTAAGTTTAAAACGACTGCAGATCAAATTTCTTCTAAGAAAAAAGTTTCAGCAGGAGATAGTAGAATTTAGATGAGAAAATCTTTCAGTATTGTTAACTTTATAGTACATATTGGATACTTTTTCAACTGATTCCTTAATAAAGAAGAAAAAAGTATAGGGTTTCAGAGCAATTACTTGGAATTGTCTTTCAGAGTGAGAAGCAGGCTACACTTGCTTAATCACTTACGATGACTAGGAGCCATTACTTTTTGATTGACAGTTCTGAACTGCAGTACTGTTGCTATTCAAGATACATATAAAGTACTTACATATAACACATGAATCTTTTTATTGGAAGAAGGGAAAGTGGAAAACAGTGAAAAAGATCAAAAATATCTCAAACCCCTCATTTGACAGAGTTCTAGCTGCTGGTCCAGCATTAATAGCAACAGGCAGAGATTATTTACCAAAACATCATAAAGATTATCATTAAAACATAACCATGCTAAAAATATATTAGTTTTTATAAATTTTATGTTTATAAATCACATTCTCAACAATATGTCATAGAACAAGAAACAGGCTGTTATGTTCTCTGGAATTCAGAGCACAGTAAACAGACAGTAGCCATGCACAGAACAACACACATTTAGCAAGATTTAAGAGGTTCAGTACCGCCCAAAGTAGGTACACTACAAATTGACCCAAGAAGGCTGCATGTAAGAATGAATAAATCCTGGCAGATCTAAACTGTGTCTGTATATCATTAGTTTTTATCTCATTCATGGCTAATTGAGACTTTCCTGTGCTTTAAGCTTAGGGGCATACATCTCCAATTCTCTCGATGTCATCTTTGCCCTTTCAATGAAATCCTAGCAAAAGCCACAGTGCAATTCCTGTGGTTTTTGCCTTTTTTATAGTAAGAGGTTTTCAGAAAACAGAATTCACAAACCCATTGGTTTAATCTTAACCCTGGGACCCTAAAAGTCTTGCAAACAATGTCTGAACAACACGTCAAGGAACCTGAGAGTTTTTACCAAACTGTGGAATACGGTAGTCCCCAGTTACTTCTTGATAGCTGTAACCCAGTTCCTGGCAGCATCAACAGGTCAGTCATGCCATTATTCTTACACATTTAATCTAATCAGTCTGATATCTGGAAAACAGCTGTGTTCTTAGAAAAATGCAGTATCACATGTCAAAATAACCCTGGGTTAAGTAAGTGGCTAAAGTGTAAAAGCCTTTAAGCCAACAGCAATGTCATTGCTTACTGCACCAGAGACCCCATGATTTTCCTGTCTACTGATGAACGTGTCCACTAATCATTCCAGATGCAGACTGATTGCCAAGCTCTACAGCAGTAAGAATCAATAAGATGGAAAATTCTTCACCCTGCTGGATACATAAGACTAGGCTGATCAGAAACAGTTGTCATAACCGAATTTCACTGGAATTTTTTTGAAAAAGAAGGCTGTTTCCCTTTTAATTACTTTAATGATTTCCAATAATAACTTTGCCTTATTAAATTATAGACAAGCTCTATTAACAACTCTTTGTTATTAAAAGCGCTTGTGTGAATATATTAGTGCAATATCACTCATAGTTCTTTCCTTTTCCATTCATTTCGCTAATCTAAAATATATTAAGGTAAAGTAAAAATAAAACCCCTAAAATTAGCAAGAGAAAGAGTTTTAAATTACATTTAAAGAAAATAAACAAAAAATTTATGAAAAATATTAGCAGTAACCTTAAGTTACCTCTTTTTCCCTGGGAATACACATAGTAAATTTCAAGACAAATCAAGTTACTTGTTTTTGAAATATTTCTTACTTAAACGTTGTAGAAACACTTATTCTAGTGTTTCTAGATATCATGCATATCTTACATCTATATAAAAGTAAGAGAGTTTTATTCTGATTTCTATTTCATAATCAAATTAATGCAGTTACACATCTGGGCTCCTACCAAATACAGTACATGAATACATAGCATGGTAAGCTCTGAATGTTTATACAAAAACATACACACTTGCCAAAAAATCACTAGCACATAGAAAATCTTATCTAAAAGACTAGTCCCAATCTGTAATGTATCACAAAACCTAAGAGTGCTTATTGACAAGGTAACGTACAACAACTTCCTTTCACTTCCATGCTGGTTTACAGCAGTCTGTAAATATCTCCTGTAAGAATTCCTGAGACCACTGCTTTAGCGAAGGGAATTTTTGCCAAGGTATAACTGGATTATTTAACATGTAAATCAAAAGGATTTGGCTCAATTGCTCTTCTCTATTTATAAGATATAATTTCTTTTAATACTTCTGCATTTTTGTGGCTTCAATGCACGTATTCCATGTGATGGCAGTAATGAACAGCCTATTTAAATGTGAACATTTATGGAGTTTGTGCCATAAAAAAATCAGGGAAAACTTTCCTATTGATAGTCTGCACCAGCCATCCTCGACAACACCTGGCATCCTGGTAAGGGTGGGACAAGAAGCTGTTCTGTTTTGTTCAGCCACGTGATGGAAGGGCACCAGGAGCTGGGTGAAATGGGAAACATGTCTGCTTCCAACTGGAGTGTGCCAAGGTTCCTTGGGGCAGGCAGGGAGGCAGCCAATGGCACGAGTGCCCATCCTGGTTGTGCAAAGCCTGGTCAGCTCTGCCACTGCTGCTGGTGCTTTAGCTGCCTGGCCAGCACTGAGAGTGAGTCAAAACCCCTCTGTACATGGAAGGACTACACAACTGTCTTCCATGTTATTGCCAGACAGGGACTAAAACTATGGAAAGCCTAATAACAGAAGCAATATGCAGCTGCTTTAGAAAGAAAAATAATAATAAAAAAATGAGGTAAAAATGAATAAGTAAAATTAAATGCATGGGTTCTGAACTCCAGGTAAATAAGCAAAACATAAAACCCCTTTTCCTTACAACAGACAAATAGAAAATGCTATCAAAGTCAGCTAACAAAATAATGAAAATGCACAGGCATATAAAAAGCAGCATACCATATGTCCACCAATATCTAGTACAACAGGAACATTAAGAAAGCCATTAAGATAGTGTCCCCATTGTGCCCAGGTATACAATAACATATGGTACATTTCCTGCTTCACTGTGCATTTCCTTGCTTTCATTGTTTAGCATCACTAATTTACAGCTCAATTAATATGGTTTCTGTATGCATATCTCTGCAGAATATTTTAAAAGTCTTCACTGCTGCTTAAAATTAATCTTTTTTTTTTAGTGCAAGTGCATAGTAAGCATTAACATAAGGTAGGATTCTTTCCAAACCTTAATTAAATGGAAGAGCTAAATAGAATTATTTTAAGGTAGCTACACATGACACTTAAATTATTATTGTCTTCTTATTTAAGTCCTCACATCATTTGTTGTAATGATGCTACAGAGAGACATTACAAGGTTGTTGATGGTTTTAATCAATGGAGACTTCCTATGGACAGATGTGGGTATTTCTCAAGATTGTCAATCAGAGCCAAAGTAGTAAGGGACCAATGCAACATATAGACTTTTATGTGTGGAGAAAAGAGAGGAACCAAGAAGTCTGAAAAATTTTTCTCCTCATGGATATTTATACTCAAAAATCTGAAGAAGATCAAGGAAACTCAGGATTCCCAAAACCAAGATGAAAATTATTTGTAAAATATCATTTATCTCTTTAGTATTTACAGATTCCACGTGTACTCAAGAAGAGTGGAACTTTCCCACACTAGCTCAATCCTACCAAGGTTCCTATTTGATATAAAGACTCCTTATGGGAAAAAAAAAAAAGTTCTCTTCTCAAAGAAGAGAAGATAATTATCTTATAATATCTTATATAATTATAATTATCTTATCTGCCTTTCTAAGAGATTCATATACTGTTTCATGAATTTGATATAGAAAATGAAATTAGAATATAAATAATTAAATAAATAAAACCTAAATTATAGTAATATAGATTCATGTCACCTTCTGATTTCATTAAACCACATTTTCCATTTAGCATTAGGGGACTGTTACCGACCATGGGTGAACACATGGATGTTGAATTAGGTTTCATATCTTTACAAGGCAGAAATTGCTTAGACCCTGTGTAAACTCATTCACTATGCAATTCCAACCTCTAAAAATACTGTATGGGCTCTCAAACAGTATGACTCTTTCTTTAAATATTGTGTTTCCTTTGAGAACCACAAGTCTTTACGTCATGTTTTTCTGTATTTCTCATTCAAATATTTTTATTTCCTTGGAACTCATGCAAAAATGTGCTTTCTGATTTTTCTCACAGGAAAAGGCTTATGAATTTTCTTATGATTATATTCCCTTTTAACTTCAAAATTCATCTCAGAATGAATTTCCCTAGTACATTTCTGGGTACAATGTATTACAATAACTACCACTGAAATTTACTAAACAACTACATTTAATATTTTCCCTAGGGTGGGATGACAAAAATGACAGTTTTGTTACTGCAAACTAGAAACAATGTTTTGCAACTGAATCATTGTAGTCATACAGATCAGAACCTGAAATTGATGTTTCTGGAGAATAAATAGGTTAAGTAAGTCAGTTACCCACTTTAAGAATGGCAGATGATGAACGTTACCCTAACAGAGAAGGACTCCTTCAAACACCCATTCATAAATTCAGGTGTTGTTAACAGTGAGATTTTTCAAAAAGAAGAATCATTCCCATTTGTAACAACACTTTCACCATTCTGGCACATAATAAGAATTAACATGATCTTTAACAGGTCTGTTTCTACTTAAATTGTTTTTCCTTGGTTCTGAGATAATAATGTATTTTTGCTCATTTGACTTTGCATAATAATGTCTTTCTTAAATTCTGATATTTTAGAATCTGATCATACCAGGCTATGGCATGCCTAAATAAAATAGCTTCTCTGAAGAAAATTCTTCCTTTCCAATTACACGATAAAAGAAAAAAATCTATCAATTCAATC